AGGTCTTACATCCTCATACCTATGAACAAAGCAGGAAGTAAGAAACAAGTGGAAAAGGGTTTTCTTTGTATTGGGAAATTTAAAACATTAAATAATAACAGTAACAGCAACAAACATAACAGTAACAATAATAGTAGTAATTTAAAATAGAGCAAACATATAATAGCAATAAAAAATAATAGCAATTTACTATTATTATTATTTTTTTGGAGACAAACTCTCATTCAGTCGCCCTGTGGTTGAGTGCCATGCACCATAGCTCACAGCAACCTCAAACTCTTGGGCTCAAGGGAGCCTCTTGCCTCAGCCTCCCGAGTAGCTGGGACTACAGGTGCCCACCATAATACCCATTTTTTTTAGAGACAGGGTCTTGCTCTTGCTCAGGCTGGTCTTAAACTCCTGAACTCAAGTAATCCATCTGCTTCGGCCTCCCAGGGTGCTGGGATTACAGGTGTGAGCCACCACGCCTGGCGCTATTTTAAATTCTTCATATAAATTAGCTTATTTAAGAAGCCATTAGTTGCATGGCTACTCCAAGCTGTGAGGGAGTCTTGGAAAGCAGGTGTCAGACAAAGGGGGTGTAAATTCATTCCTAGCCTGGTACCTTGCTGCCTGTCACCCAAATTGAAGTTCTGCCAGTCACAGACCTTATAATGTGGTGGGAGTGGCTGTGGGGTTATGGAAAAATGTTTTTGTGTGACTGTGCTCCAGCTCTTTGTCGCCTAATCATGAAAACTCTCAAGAATGTAAAATAGTGAGAGTTAGAGGGTTATGGGAATAATTTGGAAACCCCTATAATGTGACAAGAAAACTAATCATTCAGAAACTTTGGTGGGTTACTCTTGGTAATAAATTTTTGTGACACACTTCACAGCTATTATGATGGGCTGGCAGCTATCCCATTGTTCCAATTGTTGCCTCATAGCAAAGCAAACTTAATGTCATAACACAAAAATTATTCTGTTATGCTCACAGATTCTGCGGGTCAGGAACTGGATCAGGACCCAGTGACTGGGTGAAGAAGTCATAAGTCCATGTTCAGTGAGAGGGGAACATTGACTCCAACTCTTGATGGGTGGAATGTCAAAGAATTTGTGGCTTTTCTTTGTTTGTTTTTTGAGACAGAGTCTCCAGCTGTCACCCTGGGTAGAGTGCTGTGGCATCACAGTTCACAGCAACCTCAAACTCTTGGGCTTAAGTGATTCTCTTGCCTCAGCTCCCAAGTAGCCGGGACTACCAGTGCCTGCCCCATGCCCAGCTATTTTTTGGTTGTAGTTGTCATTGTTGTCTGGCAGGCCTGGGCTGGATTCAAATCTGCCAGCTCTGGTGTATGTGGCTTGTGCTGTAGCCACTGAGCTACAGGCGCTGAGCCTGTGGCCACTTTTTGATAACCACAACATACACCATGTATGAACTGGAGATGATTTGAAAACTATTTAATAATTGATATTGACAAATCAGGAGGCATGCTGGCCACACATTGGAGCAGATCCTAAAAATTCTTCCTCCACACTACCAAATATTAACTCTTTTGTTTCTGAATTGCAGGGAGATCTGGGAGACCCAGGGGAGAGGTGGGATAACATGGGATGGGGGTGGGAGTTGTACAGGAGGATCCTTGGGGAAATAGCTATTTGCCAAATGGTATGAAAGTCTCAAAATTTTAACAGCAGAAACAGTGCTACCACTGGAAACCCATTGGATATGGGTCCTGCAAGAGATTTACAACTCTGGAAACTCCGTGTGCCATTTTAGGCCTGGTATGCCTAGGTCCATCTCCCACCTCTCTCTTCTACAGCTCCACGTTGTTCAGGTGTCCACTCTCTGTGGGACATGTGTTCAGGGAAAGGGCTCCTCAGGGGTAAATCTTGATTAGTCTAAGACTATATTTGTAATTCAGTCTTCCTTGTCAGTGTTTGGTTGTAGATTTGGGTGCATGACTAAATTCTAGCCAATGAAATAAACATGCACATCTGATAGGGAGTTTCTGTGAAAGGTTTTCTTTGCTTCTAAGAAGAATGGAAGAAGAATCCAGGCCCCAAGCATTGTACCACAGAGGCAAGCTATCCACACTGGGCCTTGCCCAAATTTGTGACCCATAGAATCTGCCAGCATGGTAAGATGGTTGCTGTTTTACTCCACTAAGTTTGGGGTGGTTTTTTATGACTTGGTGGTTGTTAATGTGTGACAGCTGGAGCTGGGGCTGCCATCTTGGGACCATGAGGTAGCCAGAATAAGACTCCACCAACAGAAATGGAAAGGACCTGATTCTCCAATGATATTATCAAATGAATTAACTAACCAGTCCTAGAACTGCTTTGCCAACTAACATTCTGTTATGTGTGGTTCTAAACTCATTTTTGTTTTGGCTATTTGAGTTGGGGTTTCTGATTACTTATTACAGGATAAAGCATCTTGTTTGAGATAGACTCTCATCTGTTCTAGATACCCATGGAACAAAAGAGATATGGAGTTTACACAAACAGGGAGAGAGAGAGAGAGAGACATGCACACCTGCATAAGTAAACACACATTACCGCACCCATGTGGGTGTGAATATGCACAGCTGGGCATCTTCGGCCAGACTCAGGATCTGGCAGACACCCACTTGGATACAAATGCACACACAGTCACAGAAGTCAGGCATACCCAAACACCCACACCAGTCACAAATGGTGTCTGTGTTACATAGACAACCACGGTCAATCACAGACTCTCAATCATGCACACTCTCAAGGATTCACTTGTCTCAGAAGTTTCCAACTCCTTGCTGTTTATTTGTGCATATTGTATAAAAGTAGAAAAATAAATGTAGCCCTGGGTCCACATCAGGGACTCTGGTCCATAAATAATGAAAGGAAATAATTTAAGGCAGGATGGGCTTAGTGTATAAATAAGGTCTGAGGTCCTGGATGGGCTGGGGTAGGTCCAGGTTCTCAGACACACAGGTGTCCACTAGCAACACATTTCAGGTCCCGGGTGAGAAGGCGGAAGAGGTTGAATGTGACAGAGGCTTCCAGGCAGCCAGGGGACTCCTGAGGGGGAGGAAGGGATGGGTTGGTGGCTGCCCAGTGCCTGGACTCCCAAGGGGCTGCCCACACATCAGTCCCTCTCCTAGTCAGTCACTCACCTTCTTCGGGGCCTTCTGGAGTCGGTGCAGCCAGTTCCGAAGGCGGCCCCGGGGCATGGGGCCTGCTGTGGGCTGAGCCGAGCCCTGTGGGCAGAGAAGATTGGTGTGAGGCAGGGCCCGGCCACAGGGACAGTGTGTTGGTCAGAGCCCACAGACATGGGGGTCCTGGAGCCCGAGCACTCACACAGGCCTGGAGCTGGGACTGGATGTGGCGTAGTGTGTGAAGGGGCTGGTCCAGGACGTCCCTCAGGGCCTCATTAGTTACGGCCTCCAGGACCTTCAGTGTCAGGGCCAGCTCAGCCTCCAGGGCCACAGGGCGCTCCCACACCTAAGGAGAGGTGGGAAAAAGTGAGGGTGGCAGGTGGGGAAATATAGGAGAAAAGCCCTAGGTAGGTGGGGGACAGATAGGGAGTACAGGGCAAGGGGGCTGGTGATGTAGGACATGGGGTGGAGACTGGTAATGGGTCCAGTGAGAGGGAGAGAGGAGAACACATGAGGAAGGATGGAGATGAAGAGGATACAGGGGAGGTAGAAAGACAGGGAGAAAACAGGCGAGGGAGCACGTGACATGAGGAAACGTGAAGGTGGCTGATGGAAATCACAGAAGTTTGATGAGACAAGAATTGGAGACAGGTGAGGAGAGAATTGGTTAGGGAGGCAGGTGAGGAGGGACAGTTGGATGCACAGGTAAGAAAGCAGATAGAGGAGAAGCGAGAGCTGGAAGATAAGTGAAAAATGCTGAGGAATACAGTGAGAGACAGTGGGGGGAGGTCGGGAAGGCGGAGGGGCACAGGTGAGCTATAGACGGGGCATATATGGGCGAGAAGGGAAGAGGGAGCTGAGAAGGAGCTAGGTAAGAGATAGGTGAGAGAGACAGGAGATGAAAAAGGGGATGGGGCAGGGAGGACAGTATCAAGGGAGTGGTTGAGGAGTGACAGGGGCACAGGACAAGTGAGGAGAGAGCAAAGAGATGGAAGGATGGACAGGGGATAAAGAAGGTGAAGGGGTCACCTATGGAGACAGCAGAGAGGGGCAAGGTCAGGGTCAAGTAGCCTGATGTCCAACTCACCTGCAGCTGCCTCAGGTCCCAGGGCCTGGGGAAGAAGCGGGAACTGCAGCTCCAGTTTATCTGGGAGAGTGAGTTTTCCTAGACAGCAAGGGCACAGGTTAGCCCAGAGCAGAAGGGCTGGATGCTAGCCCCTGGCAGCAGAGGTGAAGGTTGGCTTCATTTATGAATGTCCCCCACAGCAGAAAGGGCAGAGGTTAGACACAGCTAGGAAGCCAGAGGCTAGCCCCTAGCGAAAGGACAGAGGTTAGCCCATAGTAGCAGACAGCAGCTTGGCTACTGTAGGGGGTGGAGGTTAGCCCACAGCAGCAGGAACTCACCAAGGCATCCTTGGCCTTCTTGAAGGTTTCTACCTCCTGAGGTGACAGAGATTTGAAAGTGCCAATGTGGCAGCCCCTCCAAGTTGTGTTGGGCTTAGAAGTGGGGACAGGGCCTGCTGTGGTCAAGCCCAACACCGCAGTCCCCAGCACTAGGATCCATGCTGCAGCCATGGCCAGGTAGCAACTGCCTGCTGGGTGGCATGGCTCTGCTTTTTAGGTGCGCTAAGTGAGGAACCCCGAATGATGTATATAAAGCAAAAAGGCAACTGGAAATGGAAATCTGGGAGTTTCCACTTAGGTATAAGGCAAGAGTGGGTGGGGCCAGTACTGAGGCACGTTTGTGAACAGGTGTGGGAGGGGCCAAGTCAGTCTGGGGCTATGCCAAGAAGGAAAGAGAAACAAGTAAGAGCCAAGAACACGGCATGTAGGACTCCCCGGGCAGCCTTTGGCCAGCTGACTTAGGGAGCCTCTGACAGGTTGAGGTGAAGGGATGGGACGCTGGCTGGTATAGGACTCTCACAGTAGAGGAGAGGCTTGGGAAGTATGTGTGTGAGGTTGCCTGAGTTGGGGAGAGAGAGTTGCATCACTGGGTTAAGAATGTTTCATAAACTAACTCATTTCATGCTCCTAACATTTCCATGAGCAGGTTTTTTTTTTTTTTTTTTTTTTTTTTTTAGTTTCTTAAGACAAAGTCTCACAATGTTGTCCAGGGTAGAGTGCCATGACATCAACTTAGCTCATAGTAACTTTGACCTCTTGGGCTCAAGCGAGTCTCCTGCCTCAGCCTCCTAAATAGCTGGGACAGCTGCCCACCACCATGGCCAGTTATTTTTTCTATTTTTAGTAGAAATGGGGTCTCACTCTTGCTCAGGCTAGTCTAAACTTCTTTTATTTTATTTAAAAAATTTTTTTTAAAAATAAAATCATAGCACTGTACATTAATACTATCATGGGGTATAGTGCTAGTCTAAAATTCTGACCTCAAGCAATCCACCTGCCCTGGGCTCCCAGAGTGCTAGGATTACAGGCTGAGCCATGGTGCCCAGCCCAGAGTTGGGGTTTGAACAGTTGTAGTCTATACGCAGCCAAGGTTGTGATGAGACCCTCTGGGGAGTAACAAGCCCACTTCTCCTTTCAGTTCCTCTTGGGTAACATGAAAGGGGTGAGCAGCTCCTTATTTGCTGGAGACAGGAACATTTCCTGGGGACCAGGGGGACCTCCTGGGGAGCGTCAGCGAGGAGGGCTTCCAGAAGGCAGCCAGCGAGTCTGTTTGCTTTGCTATCATCACCCCTGCGGTAACAATAATTGTGTAGCAGGTAAGAAATTGCTCCGATGTGCAGACACTTCATATTTTTTCCCTTCTTTGCTTTTTTCCCCTTAGCCCTTTGGTGCAGAAAGTTATTAATCACACTCTTCAGATCATAACACAGACTCACAATTGGTCCATGAAAGACCCTCTGGAGGTTTTACCCACCCATCCAAAATTCCACTCCCACCCCCTACACACCCACTTTAATACATTTGATAAATAGTGGCAAAGATGTATCTTTATAATTTGTGATTTTTGTGCGTGTATGTGTTTCCAATTTACATAAATGGGATTGGGCTATAAATCTTCTTCTACGTGTTCCTTTTTTTTTTTTTGGTAACTTAACACTGTTTCTGAGATCTCTCCATGCGACCATGTGCATCACACTCCCCACGTCCAACTGCTGCAGGGCGGCCTGTGCTGTGCCCACAGCACTGTCATTTATGCCCCACTGATGGACACTTAGGTTGCCTCCAGCTCTGTATCACCATGAGGCTCACACCTGTCCTCTGTGTGGGAGATTTTCTGGAATATACTGTAGGACACCAGCTGATGTCCTCCCACTGTGTCCCCTCGACCCACTTTTGTGCTCACTGCGGATCTGGTGGGCAGTTCCCACACATGCTGCCAGCTTCCCACCTCATGTGCCTGCCTCTCCCTACTTCTCCATCTGAGTCTGAGGACGTCCTACTGCCTGTGTGCAGAACAGACTGGACGTGCCAGCACTCACTCCCCCCGGAGAAATCCTCAACTGCTGAGGGCTGGGAACCGGTGAATAAATACTGCCGCTTCCCTTTTGTTCAGGGGATCAATTCTCAGGTGTGTTCTATGTGATTCCTCCATCTTCCGAAAGTTGCCAGTGGAAATGATCTCTAGTTGCTCACAGCAGCGAGTCTCCCGGGGCTGGGACTAGGGGAAGGCAAGTTAGGGGACCCAGGTCACAATTTAAGGAGGTGTTCCCTCCTTAGTGCCCAGGTGTTCCCCTCTACGCCAGGGTGTGCCATTATTGGCTTTTTGCTCTTCCAGTCTCAATTTCCCCACTTGTTCTTCTGGAGAACATCTAAACAAACCATCTATACCCTTGGTTTAGGACATGCTTTTGGGAGAACCCAAACTGAGACATAGATTTAGAAGTAGGATTGCTGGATCACAGGCTTACCTGTACTTACATTGTCCAATCAGCTCTGTTGGAGAGGACTTTCTACAATGATGGAAAAATTCTGCATCTGTGTTTTTCAGTACAGTAGACACTAGCCACATATGGCTGATAAAATTTGACTAGTGCTGTGGAGTGCTGAATTTTCATTTTATTTACAATTAAGGCTGGGTGAGGTGGCTCGTGCTTATTATCCTAGCACTCTGGGAGGCAGAGGCAGGTGGACTGCTTGAGCTCACGAGTTCAAGACCAGCCTGAGCAAATCAAGATCCCCATCTCTACTACAAATAGAAAAACTGAGGCAAAAAGATAGCTTGAGTCTGAGTTGGAGGTTGCTGTGAGCTATGATGCAATGGTGCTCTACCCAGGGTGACAGCTTGAGACTCTGTCTCAAAAAAAAAAAAATTAATTGCTATATGTAGCTAGGGACTATCAAAATGGGCAGCACAGTTCTAAATATTCATCATTTGCTCCCCCAAATAGCGGCAACTGTTCCCTTCCTTCCAGATGTGCTCAAAAGTTTCTAATGTCCAGACAATAGTGTAGCTTTCCCAACAATTGCTCTGAGATAGATAGTGAGATCCTGGACCTTGAGTCTGAGCCTGGCACAGTAGATGAGACTTTTGAAGTTATGGAAAGATGTGAATTTATTTTGCATATGGAAGGAATATAAATAATTTGGCTCATGCCCATAATACCAGCACTTCGGGAGGCAGAGGCAGAAGGATCACTTGAGCCCAGGAGTTCAAAACCACCCTGGGTAACATAGCAAGACCCCTATCTCTACAAAAAATTAAAAAAAACCATTGTCCAGGCTCGGCGCCCATAACACAGTGGTTATAGCACCAGCCACATACACCAAGGTTGGCAAGTTAGAACCCAGGCCAGCTAAAACAACAATGACAAATACAACAAAAAATAGCCAGGCATTGAGGTGGGCACCTCCAGGTACTCAGGAGGCTGAGGCAAGAGAATTGCTTAAGCCAGGAGTTGGCTGTTGCTGTGAGCTGTAATGCCACAGCACTCTACCAAGGGTGACATAGTGAGACTCTGTCTCAAAAAACAACCAGCCAAACAAAAAACATCATCCAGGTGTGCTGGTGCACATCGGATTCCCAGCTACTCAGGAGGCTGAAGCAGGAGGATCACTTGAGCCTAAGAGTTTGAGGCTGCAGTGAGCTGTGTTTACATCATGGCACACCAGCCAAGGCAAGAGAGCAAGGACCTGTCTCAAAAAAAAAAAAAAAAAAAGAAAGAAAGAAAGAAAAAAGAAAAATTGTGGCCAGAGGGCAAACTGTTAAAACATGTCTTCCAGGGGGTGGTATCTGTGGCTTAAGGAGTAGGGTGCTGGCCCCATATACTGTGGGTGGTGGGTTCAAGCCCAGCCCCAGCCAAAAAACTGCAAAACAAACAAACAAACAAAAAATGTCTTCCAGGTATTTGCCACTGCCCTCACTGAGAAGTAAGTCTGTCCCATTCCCTTGAATCTGGGCTGGCCTTGGCTTATGTATAATTGTAGGTACTCTCTGATCTCCAAAGCTAAGTCAGAGAAGACTAGGAATTTTGTGCTTGGTTTTCCAGAGGCTCTCACTCTGAGGAAGGCCAGTTGCTATGTTAGAAGGTTGATTATTCTGAGACCTCCATGCTCCCACCCTTGTTTGGCATCAACTGTCAACCATGTGAGTGAGCTCTCTTGGATGGTGCTATAGTTTGAATGCTTGTTCCCTCAAATCTCCTGTTGAAATGTAATACCCAGTGTGGCAGGATTGGGAAATGGGGCCTAGAGGGAGGTGTTTGGGTCATGGGGTAGATCCCTCATGAATGGCTTGGTACTCCCTTTGAGGTAACCAGTGAAGTCTCACTGTATTAGTTCACTTGAGAGCTGACTGTTAAAAAGAGCCTAGTATGGCCCTTCTCTCTTGCTTCCTCTCTTGCTCTGTGATCTCTGCACATGCCATCTCCCCTTCCTCTTCCTCCATTGGTGGAAGCTGCCTGAAGCCCTCACCAGAAGCAGATATGGGCACCATACTTCTTGTACAGCCTGCAGAGCCATGAGCCAAAGAAACCTCTTTTTAAAAAAAATTATCCAGACTCAGATATTCTTTTACAGTAAAACAAATGAATTAAGACAGAGGTATAGCCCAGCTCTCAGGTTCTATGTGGAGGTTCTATCACCTCTAATCCTCCCCCCAAGACCCTACATAGCCATTTTTACTCTACTGCTCCCCTGCCTCTGGGGCCCAGGAAGTAAAAGAATTATACATGTATATACAATCTACCCTTTTGGGTGCAAATGGGCATATTTTGTGTATATGTATGTGGTTATAATGATCATTTTAAAAATTACTCCAAACTTGTGATTTGGCCACTAGGTAAGGTGGATAACACCTAGAATGTGTGAACAGAGCTCTGATTATTGCCTTGGCAATGACAGGAATTTAAAAAAAGGAATCAGGCTGGGTGCAGTGGCTCATGCCTGTAATCCTAGCACTCTGGGAGGTTGAGGCAGGTGGATAGCTTGAGCTCATAAGTTCAAGACCAGCTGGAGCAAAAGCAAAACCCTGTCTTTACTAAAAATAGAAAAACTGAGGCAAGAAGATAGCTTGAGCCTGAGTTGGAGGTTGCTGTGAGCTGTGATGCCACAGCACTCTACCCAGGGTGACAACCTGAGACTCTGTCTCAAAAACAAATAAACAAACAGAAAAA